TTTGATCACATTTACATTTTACTAGTGTTGTTTTAGTTACAAAATGAGACTTTTAGTTAGTAATAGTTAGTTATGGAACTTTAGATTTTGATTTTAGTTAGTTTTAGTTAGTTATGCTTCAATAAAAATAATTTTAGTTAGTATAGTTAGTTTTTAAAATTTCCAAACCTTTTTAGTTAGTTATAGTTAGTTTAAGAATTTTTTAAAAAGATTTAGTTAGTTATAGTTAGTTAACTAAAAGTAAAATTAGGCCTAACTAAAAGGGTTTTAGTTTTAGTTATAGTTACCTAAAACATTTTTACTAGCTACAAGTAGTGAAGTGCTAGACTGATAAGTACTTCTATATTTTAGTTTGAACTTTAGCCATTTTAGTTAGTAATAGCTAGTTTTGCAAATTCTATAATACTTTTAGTTAGTTATAGTTAGTTTTTTAAATTTTAAAATATTTTTAGTTAGTTATAGTTAGTTAACTAAAAGTAAATCTGGCCTAACTAAAAGGGTTTTAGTTTTAGTTATAGTTAACTAAAACAACACTACATTTTACACTATGCCTACATTCAATTTCATAGCCATTTTAGGTGGCAAGATGACATGGTAGAGCATGGCAGAATGGAGTGAATCGAAGAAAAAAATCACTTTCTAGAACTAGTTTACATGATCTAGCAATACTAAAAGCAAGCCAAGGAACTGTCTTAAAAATCATATGATTTTTAGATTAATCAATAATAGTAGTAAAGTGTAGTAGCAGCAAAAGCTCACTACAGCGAGTTGCTGCATTTAAGTATTTGTTTTTTCTAAGTATTAGAGTTTTTAATATTGTTTATACTTGTATATGACAATTTAATACTCAGCCACTGTGCCACAAAAGTTTTTGAAGCTTTTCTTTATCTTGCATTAGACACTTCTCCTGTATAAAGGAGCTACAATGACAGTATCTTTCCAGCAGAGTGTGATTCAATTGTTGAAAAAGTTATAAGCTTTCTATTGATATTGCTAGATCATCTAAACTAGCTCTAGAAAGTGAATTTTCCTTTGATTCACTCCATTTTGCCATGCTCCACCATACCATCCTGCCACCCCAAATGGCTATAAAATTAAATGTGGGTGGGGTCACGTGTGGTGTAAAATATGAATATGATTAAAAGGCATAAGTGAAAAAGGACTATTGCAACTTTTGACCAAAGATTTAGTATGAAAACAGTACTTCTTTATAATGTTACTATAGCTATTTTCCTATGATTCTTTATTACCAACTTATATGTATTAAAAAAAAAGGTTTTGGGGTTTAGTTACCCTTTAAGGTACATGTAGCAACAAATTATTGTACCCACAGTAAATATCAACATACATGTAAATGCAAAATATAGGACCAGCAAAAAATTACTAGCTATAAATACAGCTACTAAAATGTACATGCACATACATGTACACATGCATGATGAGACAGGCAGAAAGTTGATATTTAGTCCTGACTTACATGTACATGTACGTGTAGGAACTGAACTTATTGCTCAGTGTACATGCACATGTACATGTATATACACAAAATGTACATGCATGCACATGTACATGTACATGTATATACACAAAATGCACATGCATGTACATGTACAATACAAGAAACCAGATACATTGTATGATGCATCAAGCATACAAAATTAAATTCAGAGTTACATAGAATCAAACGTCAAGAAGAATGTTACCTGTTTTGGATTAGTAACTAATAGTTTAGTAGAAAGATTCATGATTTGAAGCTTAACTGAGTCATCCTACAAAACATAAATAAATGTACATGTACAAGCACTTTATCTGTCAAAATGACAAACCTCATTACAAAAGTTCTTTGCAGCTTTGCGTAAAACATCTGGAGCAATTTTTGGAACTAGATTACAGTACTCACCAACAAGCCACAATACACTAGCCTTAGCACTGGGGACCTGAACTTTATCAGCAAGTTTAGCAACTTGTCGAATAAGATCTTTGTTTTCCTTTGGCTGAAGCTGCAAAAGCTTCTTTGTAACAACAACACTTTCCGCAACTACAGCTTCTATAAAGAGCACAAACAATAAAGTTGTTACAACATTTGTGTGAACCATTCTTATGTGAAAGAAGATTCATTAGGCCATGAAGACAAGTCTCTGTTACTCCAGATATGTTGTAAGCAACACGTCCAATGGCCTGTATAGTTGCAGCAGCAAAGTCTTGATCAGAACTTGAAACATAGGCCTATTTAACATTAAGTCAACACCTTAGGAAGAACTCAACATTAAACTTACTCTGAATTCTCTTAAAATAGTATGAATGCTTGTTTCGCTGGCTATATTAGCCATTATATCCAACTATAATTGCATAAAAAGTTAAACAGCTGCAATAGTATATGATATATATGTATGTACCTTTAACAGCCTAACATGAGTGGGATCATTAGACCTTACAAAAAAACTTTTCAGGTATGGTTCAAACATACTCTAAAATTAATAAACATGTAAATAAACACTCCATAATTATTAATTTTACAAGTCTAAATTTAAGGAATACAACTAAACCTGACTATTCTGAACACTTTATGACTCATAATACTGTTCTGATTATGTTAGCGTTCTTATTTTAGAAGTATACACACTAATACTGTATTGGGATTGCTATTACATGTACCTGTTTCATATGTAGTGGTGTCCTTATTTTAGAGTGTCCACAATAGCAGGCTTGACCATCTGAGTACATGTACATTGTACAATTTTTTGTTGGGATGAATCATAAAATATTACATATTGACCTCAGTGAGCTGCTGCCATGCAAATTTGAATCAGTACATAAAGACTCAAGTAAAAATACAATTATCACACACACCCATTACAATGCTTGTTGTGTTCAAAAGTTCAGTATTAGTATTCAATACAATGTAATTTACTGAGCAGTCCCAAAAAATGCAATTATTTCACAAGGACTTACAGGTCTTTCAGCTGACAGTGTAGCAATGTTGCTTAATACAATAGACTGAACCTCACTAGAGTAGCAAAAGATTAAAAAGTTCAAAATCATACATGTAGATGTACTTACTAGTGTCCCTTTAGTAGACGAATCAGTGGACGTGCAATTATATTAACTTCATTACGAGGAGCAATATGATGGTAAAGCTGCGCCACAGACATAACAACCTACATGTACATGAACATATGTAAATGTCAAAATAAAAAAAATAACAGAAAAAATTAATTTATTTGATACAGTGATAATGGCATAAATTTACAACATACATCTACTGTAGATTATATAGTGTACAAGAACAAAAAAAAAACACAAAATTCATGCTTGTGCATGAAATGATTCATTGAGTTACAGCAAATGAAACGTAATACAAATTTAATAGATACACTAGAAGTGAAGTGAAATATTCTACTTTTCTATTACAAAAAGATCTCATGCTACATACATGTACATGTATATGCATGCATGTGCGTGAAGTACAATTTCAAATTTGTCTGGAATCGAAAAAAACACCTCTTTATATAATCTTCAATTAGCTGTTTATAGCAATTTACATGTACATGTACTTCTCTTAGACAGCAATAGTTTTGAGTCAAATATTCACAGTAAACGTGCTAGATTTGTACAATTGATATCAACAAACAGGTATAAAGTCATCTACAAATTATGGCTTGACATTCAAGATGACATATGTACATGTACATTGCACATAATTTATTGTGTTGTGTGAACACAACACAATGTACGTGTACATATTCCCTTACAGAGGCATTTCTGCTTTGCAGAAGAGGCTTTGTAACTCGCAGAAGCAGACGATGATCAGAGTCCATCACATAAGCTTTTTTCTTTTGCTTCTTTGTCGTGTCATCTCCATCAGAATCTTCATCCTCATCCTCGTCCTCTTCATCATCATAAAATTTTTCTGTTTCTGGTTCCTATAAAATTGCAGTCCAGTACATTTAGATGTCAGTAAAAATAAACATGCATAAGTAAAGCATTCACAAAATACTTACACTCTGGTTTGGATCAATAAATTGTGTTCTGGCATAACGAGTCAACATATTGAGTATTGTCACTTGACCCCACTCGTCAACATCAACTAGTAGATTGCATAGTTTGCGATAATTCTTATGTATCAAGTCAATCCTTTCTGGGCAAACCAACTCAAATGCCATAACAACACTACCAGCAACAAGCTACATGTGAACACATAAAGAAAGGCAAATGCAAAAAATAAAAAAGAATAAGGGCACACATGCATTATGCACATCAGGATCAATTAACACATTGAAACTGAATATTGTTCAATCAAAAAAATTTTTGCTTGCATGCATGTACATGTAAGTGTACACAAGTACTGTAGATGTAAATCTACACAAACACACAACTACATGTACATGCACACATATACACATGTAGTACATGAGCATGTACATGTAGGTAAGTACTTACAGTAGTCTGATCTTTTAATAGCTTTTCTATTATCTCAATTAATGGTTCTTTCTGTTCAGGATCTAAGCTAAAATACAGGAGCAAAACCCCAAAAGTGACATAAAAATAATACACACATAAAAAGTGAGAAATGTATGTACCTGTACAACTTCGGTATGGCATTAGCAGCAGTTTTCCTTACATAAGGAGACATATCCATCACACACTACAAACATACAGTACATGTAAGAAAGTAATAAAAAAGTAAAAAAGGTTTACGATTAAAGTGGAAAACAAGAGGAAGCTTCAAAATGGTATGGTAAAAAATCGTATACAACTGGACAAAACTTCTTTGTGATATACATGTACACATTTACATGTACATGCAATTTATTCATCATATGTACATGTACATCTACATAAAGATGTACATGTATGTCAGGCCATGGTGAGGAAGACAGTCTATAAACTTTTTACATTAATCATTTATGTACATGTCAATGTAGGTAGTTCACTTATTAAAAATTTCACTATAGTGGGTAGATAACATAGCTGAGCCTTATTCAACATTCATGAATAACTATACAGCTAAAATTATACATGTATGTACTGTAGTTCATTGTACATGTAGTACAGATACGTAAATATAGAATAAAGCAGATAGCCCAAGTGTAAGTAATTGGCAAATGCATTGTTTCAAATAAATGTATAAATGTCAGTCCACATTGCATGATCCATACATGTGCAGTATAATTGTCTTAAAAAATGTAATTTTATAACTCACATCTTTAATAGCAAGCATCATGATAGGAACTATAATGGGAACTCTGATACTTGACAATACACGTAGAGCACTAGCCCTGATAAGCTGATTTGGATCCTACTACAAATATAATGAAACTTATTAACATAAACTTGCCTTAAGAGACTTTTGAAAAGTGCTGATTGAAAGCAGTGCAAGGTCTTGTTGTTCCTCAGCATAACGAACAAGGTAAACGAAAACTAATTTTTTAATCTAAAAAGAGACATTATTGACAATGTACATGTACATCTACAAGTTGTTGTACAAGTATAGCAAAAAGCTTAAATTACAATACATGTAAGCCTACTATTGTTTGCATCTAAGGAAACCATTAAAAATAAGGATACTTACATGTACATGTACCGTAGCTACAGTAGCATACATGTAGTTAAGTACAACAGTAACAGGCTTTAAATTCTTAATCATTCCTATATACTAGACGAATGTAAAACATTAAAGGGGCGAGCCTAAGCAAGCTATAGATTATGTACTGTATGATATACATGTCTGAGCTAGCAAAGCAATTGCACATGTCTAAATTCAGTATCTTGTTGTAGTCATCTTGCTTAAATTAAAGTTATCTTGCTTATACTTAGAAGCAGTCACTGAACAAATCATGTTTGAAGATTGCATATCTGCTTTGTTAGCCTAAGCTTGCTCCTAGACAAGAAACATCACCTAGAATAGATCCATGATGCATGCAGTTAGCACCAGCTTTCTCACTTGCATTCACCTTAGCAGAATCCTTTATACCAAGAAAAAGACTGTATACCTGCTTTCCCAACTTTTACTCTTGCTAGAGAAGTTTCAGACAGGAATTTAACCTTATCAAGCCGACCGTTCCCTGCAAAATAAGCTCAGACTTGCTTATAGCCGCCATGTTATCCTTGTGACCACACCGACTTTCAATGAAGATTAGGCTATTTAACTTTAATAATAGTTAGATAACCTACCCGTACATACATACAAATGTTGTCTCGCCTTAGTGGGGCGAGCTCAGGCTCGCGCCAATCAATTGAGAAGTTTTTATATCTTAATTAACATTCCTTGTTGTTACAGCTGACAGTTTGCTATAAGAATATTATACACCTATGTGACCACTCCCACTAAATTAATATTAACAGTAACCATCACAATAAAATAATAATGGTTTTGGCATCCAGTCAATCTAGCGTATTATACTTCTAAATTTAGTAGTTGCAAAGAGGCTTAAGATACTATAAATTAAACTTATATAAGCAGCAAACAATAACAATAATAATAAATAAGAGTACATAATGTACAATGTAGGTAAGGGAAGGCAGAGAAAAAAAAAAGATAAAATGTACATGTAAAAAAACATAAAAAATTTAAAAAACAAGGACAAGTAGGATTCCGAACGATCAACAAAAATACGAAATGAAAATCCTACTCTTGTGACACAAATTCTACTCTACATTGTACTTTTAATGTTATTATGTAAGCATTACAAATGACCTTGCAATGTAGAGTAGAATTTGTGTCACAAGAGTAGGATTTTCATTTCGTATTTTTGTTGGTCATTTAGAATCCTACTTGTCCTTGTTTTTTTTTATTTCTTACGTTTTTGTTTGTGTTGATTTTTTTAATAATATTTATAATATTTCTTCAGTTACAATTGTGATACTTGTTGATTTTACACAAACAATAATTTTCTTAATCATTATTATCATTGTTATGACTTTACAGCATTATGAGATTGAGAGACAGCTCTGCCATTGAATAGATATGGTGAAGGACTATTTACTATAATGATGACAAGTGAAATTAATGCTATAGTCTTGACAGTGTCCTTGTTCAAGAAGCTCCATCTTCCCTGCAATCCTGTAGCTATTCCTGTTCTTCCTTAGTCTCACTGCCCAGACCCTCCGCCTAGCGAGACTAGTTCTTCCTGTTGTCAAATTCATATTATCATTGCATTATTATAACATCAATTTGATTGTTTTTTTAAAAATAAAATAATTCATTACACACTTGATAAAAGAATAATAATGCAAGATTAATACTTTTTCATAATTGCAAACCTCCACTAAGTATTGGAATTGATTCCAAGCATAGCCAGCCTAGATAGGTAAGAAAACTGCTTGCTTTTCCCAGTTCTGAGATCTGAACATGTGCAACCACGCCAAAATTTTGGAGCACATGCTTCTATAATTAACAAAATGGCGGCATGAGGTAAGTTGGTAAGACTCAACAGTCACAGTATCACTTCTTCTTTCCTGGAGAATGATTCTAGGGGACAAGGACCTGTGCATACCCTGTTGGAGTAGAATGGTGTAAAAATTAGCCTTCTACATGTATTATGAGCAAAGACTAAGATAAAGACTGACAATTGGATTGACAGGACGAACTTGATGATGATAATGAAAAAAGGTGGCTGAACAAAATGGCCGGTTCGCTGATTTGTGACTTTTCGCTTAGACAAGGTATAGAGCCACACTAGTTGTACCATTGGAGTACTCTGGTCAAGATAAGGTCCTCTAAGAAGTCTGGTAAGCATAGGAGCTCGTTTTCCTGGTATAGCAAGGCTGCAAAAGTCATGACAGCCATTTTGTTTGGGGGTGAATCCTACTTAGTAACGCTACCACATTACTATTTAATAAATGAAAATATATAATGTCGCAGGCCCCATTTCAGTGGAATGCTACAAGTTACCTCAAAACAGCATACAACTAATTGGGTGGAGAAGCATGGGATCACTAAAGATGTAGCCCATTAGCAATAAAGAAGTTATTTATGGTATCTGGGCTCTTGACCATAACAGGAAAGGCAGAGGAAAGGTTAACACATAATCAACATGCAAAGGAAAGTATTTGAGAAGCATTGCAGCCAAAACTAGTTTGGAGCATCTAGTCATGAATCTGCATACATTATAGTGTTCTTCAGTTCTCCTTTTAAGCCTTTTTATCAACATCACCTTGAGGTAAATCTGAACAAACTCATTTGCCTCTGATAAAGACAGTATAGTACTTCTGTCAATAAGTGAACTACAAACTTAAAACATCTTTTTTTGGAAAGGCAGTAGCTATAGATCCGGAAGGCTAGATTGGATGTTGAGATCACAAAGGACAATGTTCTTGCTGCCACAGCCATGCTAGTTTTAATATCTACATGTATACTCAATTTCATCACATAGTACATGTACATTGTACACATAGCATTGAGAAAATGCCTTTTCGCTCGGAAAATATTTGTTCCTCAAGGAATGACAGAAAAAAATAAACTGAAAAAATATATCCACTATATGGTATTGCCGGGTCATAGCCCCAGTTATTATATAGGGGCAAAGAGACTATATCTGCACCTCTAGCTCATAGTTTCCACAAAATGTCCTGACTTTTGAATGAATAGCTATAATAACTACATGAATATCCAGCTGCTGGATCTATAGACACTGTGGTTTGGAAAAAAGACAACTATTGCTAGCTCTTGATGGAGTACAACTACAGCCCGTTCATCATGGTCATTACCATTTCTTTGCTCTGTGAGCAGTATTTCTCCAATAACTGGAGTCCACATAGATTTATTGGGGTGAGCCCGAGCTCGCCCCCACTAAGGCGAAAAAACATCTGTATATATGCATGTACATGTACTGTATATTATTGTTATTTATGCAAACATTTTCATAAAAGTAATTTTACATTATACATGTAATGCATTCATGCACATAAAGATGATACAACTTGATGAAAGTTAAACCGCGTAGGGGTTTTATTTTGTTGGCATAAAATTTTGTGAATTTGTTCAGATGTACCATTTGTTTGGTATAAATTTTTGGAAATCTTACTTTCTGCTGCCATTTTTCCTAGTGTGTCACACCTCTTTCGTGAAATTTAATGAAAATGCAAAATTAGTGAAATTTATTTCCAGTGAAATATAACCCCTAAACGGTATTATGTACAATGGTAATTGCATGTGCTGTGCATCAGTCATTTAAAAAAATAAAGTACTAATGACCACAAAACTCATTTCCTACTAGAAGCACATGTACTAGTACATGCACATAAGAGCACTTTCAGCAATAACTTAATGAGAAAAGACATGTAATGGACTTACCTCAGGGTTCTTAGAGACAACATTCTTTACTACAGCAGGAAATAGATTAGTGCAATCACGACCTTTTGCAATCATCTATATGTTCATGTACATAAAGTGTTAATATGACATACACATGTATAATATAAGGTACATGTGTACAAGGGCAAAGAAAACAAAAAAATGCACATCCGTTAAATGGTAAGTACAGTCAAACCTGTCTAAAACGGTCACCTTGGGACATGCATTTAGTGGCTGTCTTATGCAGGTGGCCTTTTTATAGAAATGCCTTTAAATACAGTTTAAATTATTTTGTACACATTTACTGGCCATAGAAACTATATAACAAGACTTAAAGAACTTTTAGGTACCCCTAAAGACCTAAACTGAGTGGTATATAGTATTATTTCGAAGGTATTATTTGAGATAACAATTTAACAAAAATTAATCATTATTAATGATGTAAAAATTAATTCAAAATGGGCGTGGTACAATAGGCGTGGCTATCTGGCCGCCTGTACACAGTGGTGGTCTTTATCAGTCTTGATGGAGATTAATTCTGTCGGTGACCGTTAACCATCTTACAGAGAGACTGCTGGGACAGGTAAGTTTAGTATTACGGTCATTGTCCAAAAAATGGGGACATTAAATAGTGACCGTTTTAAAGTAGCTGGCTGTTTTAAGCAGTGATCGTTTAGAGAGGTTTGACTGTATCAGTGCATAGATCAAAATTAAAGGACAAATAACAAGCGTAACAAGTTAAAAATATTCCTATAATTGTTTTCACCACCTAGCAAGTACAGCTGGGTTCATATCAAGACTTATGAAGGTTTTCTCTACCTTCCAATGCTTCCAGAAAAGAGTTTAGACAGTATCGCTATGCTGTTTTGCTGTTAGTAAGCTCATAACTTTGTCCCATGTGCAAACCGCCATTTTATTTGCCGTGATCACACCCACTTACGTAGCGTGGGCGGGTTGTTGCTAAGGCTTGTTATTTCTCTGATACAACGTGTATAGAAGAAATGTAAGTGTTGTCATACAATCAAATATATATCGCATGTGGGTGAAATCAATTATAGGACGACCTGGGGGCTACGCCTGCAGGTCGTAATAAAAAGGAATTTACTGATACTTAAAGGGTAAGTCCGGTGTATTTTCGGTCAATTTTTTTATTGGCTGAATATGATTGCCTGCAGACGTTGCACGTCTACTGGAATTTTCGTGTACTTGTATTTTGAAAAAAGGAATTCGTGTATGTACTTGTATTCATTGGCAAATTTTCATGTATCTACATTTACTTATTGCTTCCCAAATTCATCTATATTTTGGTGATTTTTCGTTTACTTTTCATGTATCCTGTACTTAAATGTTGAATTATTGAAAGGCTAATGTCTTCATCACCCTTTCTATTGCTGTTTTTATCATCTGCTATTGCTAGAAGGATTAAAAAGACCATCAACGATCCGTGGTTAAGCAAACTAACTGCCATTTTGACTGCTATGTGGACACACCCTTTAATTATTAATAGTTAATATAAATACATGAAAACCATCTCCTTAGACTCCGTCTACTTATTTTTGGTTCATGTATATACTTGTATGTACTAGAAGACCTGTTTTTCGTCTAAATACTCGTGTATCATGTATACACGTGCAATGTCTGATTGCCTGACCATAATAATGATGTATTACAACTCCCATTGTCAAAAAAATTTTTTTACTGACATACAGTATGAACCTTCAAAAAATGCTCATTTTTTGTTACTTCCTGTCGGTAGGTGTGGCTAAACATGATGTCACTAGAGGCATAGATGCAGCTAAATTCATTCCTTTATAGGGGGAAATAATCCTTTATTCTCATGCCTAGTAATGTAATAGCACTAATTTAAAGATTGAAATCATTAGCTTTCATTATTCTAAGCATGCAACTGCAAAAAAAGACTCAAAATAGCAAACGAGAAAATTTGCCTACTTGTGGTATTATGACATTTTCTTGCAGTTGCATGCTTAGAATAATGAAAGCTAATGATCCCAATTTTTAAACTAGTGTTACTGCATTACTAGGCATGAGAATAAAGGATTATTT